CAAATCCTCCATCGAATTATTAATATTATTACACCCACTTCCTCCTTGTTCCTGCCCTAACGCCACCTCATGATGAAACGAAGTGGAATTAACAACCGGAACATCAGTGAGCTCCATCTCGCCAATCTTATTATTATTAGTACTAAAGTGAAGATTCTGATACTGTTGGTGTTGGAATTGTCCCACTTGGACCATCTGATTTTGTTGTTGTTGTTGTTGGTGAGGAAGAAGACCATAACTAGGGCATAACATAGAGGTCCCACCATTAAGGAAGATGTTGTTGTTAAAAGGGATACCGTACGGTCCAAAGGTAGCTCCTCCTCCGACAGTGGCGGCGGCGGGGCGAGGGAGGAGAGGTCTTAGGGTTTGAGTGGAGGAAGAGGAGGTGGAAGGAGAAGAAGTGGCGGAGACGGAGGAGGAAGATGAAGAGACGGAGGAAGGAGAAGAAGGGGTTAAGTTTAGCTGAGCACGTGACCCGTAGAGATAAACGGCGGCTCGGTCGTAGGCACGTGCGGCGTCTTCGGCGGTGGCGAAAGTACCAAGCCACTTGCGAGTGCGCTTACGTGGCTCTCGGATCTCGGCGACCCATTTTCCCCAGCTTCTTTGTCGAACGCCACGGTAACGGAATTTGGAGTTGTCAGGACCACCTTTGCCTTTGCGTTTGCGTTGAGCGGAGGAGGTTGATGAGTCGGTGGTGGAATCGGATTGAGGATTATTGTGGGTTAGGGTTTGGTCAGTATCGTCAAGATGGTGGTGGTGGTGTTGTTGGGAAGCTAAAGGGTCCATAGAAGAAGAAGAAGCAGAAATAGAGAGAGAAAGAGAGAGATTAAAGAAATTGGAAAAAATTTGGAGAGGACGAATCAAGAAGAAAGGGAGACTGAAGAGTGTTTGAATGTCATTGTTGTGAATGGTGGATTAGGGCGGTGCTTCTTTTATATATACTTGCACTCTCTTCTCACTCACTTCTTTCTTTTTCTTTTTTCATTTTTTTACTTACACATTTGTGTTTTTACCAAAGAAATTTGTGTTATATATTTAAGTCAGATTCGTAAGTTATACAGTATAAGTTAGTTGTTACACATTGGACTGAAATCAAAGACCATTATAAACATTTAAGCGATCGCAAACATTTTATTTTTTGGGCAACTAAAGCAAATAATGAGTGATATAATAATATGTTGAAGTTGGTTCTTTGATTCTGGTTTGGTTATTTGTGAGAAATAGTCGCATGTTAAAAACACTCCAAGGCATTTAGATTCAAACTAGAAGGAACTGAATCAAATTCCCAAAGGTTAGGAAATATTGCAACATAAGAGAAATAAGAAACGAATTATCTAAGATGGAACAGATAAATCATTTTTTTTGTTTTCCTAAGTACTAGTCAATCTAAATTATAAACAAAATAAAGCAAAAGATAGACAATTCAAAAGATTAACAAGAACAAGTGAATAAAACAGTGGACAAGATAACAAAGAAAATGGTTTATGAGTTCAAGCATTGAACGCATCGTTTAAAGTTGGCAAGCAATGAACTAGATCAAATCATTACATAACGGAGGCTGATAAGGCATAATTGTAGAGGATGTAACACCAATCAATGAATAATTTCAAAGCGTGGCATTAAATACCCAATTTCGTTAAACTCTCTTGTAATCTAAGTAGTCAACAAGCATTAACAAACACAGTATACTAAGACCCCTAATTTGGTTTTAATCTAACCTGTCATGTTTGATTTTAGTTTAACCTTTAGTGAACTTGACTAAAGTGCCCACACAACTGTGGTCCAGTAGTAGTTGAGAATTGAGAAAAAGTTTGAAGGAACTAATCCATGTTCGATCCACGCTGTAAACAAAAAACAAATCTGTGTGTGAAGTCTGGGCTTGGACCTTGCAGTTTACCAAGTAGTCCAGTAAAAGGCGATCTAGCTACTTCTTGACATTAGTCGGAAAACATTCCAAACTCGGGACAGATAGTGTGGTGGTCCTTCGGGAAGAAGTCCATTCTGAAGCACTATGCTGCGTTTCTAACGAGGCTGACCGGATCAGCATATAGGATTTATCAAAAAAAACTTGACTGAAGCTTCTATAATTTGATGATTATGATCTTAGAAAAAAATTTAAGATGTTGTCATTTACCTCATGATACTATTTTTTTGGTGTTTTCTATCTTTAAACGTAAAATTAAAATTGTTAAACAAAATGTTAACGCAATAATAATGTTTTGTTTTCGCCTCCTCGGTTTGTTATTATTATTTTCAATCTTTTATTAATAGGTAGGAGTTTAAATAACACCTCAGATATTTTATGTGTTTCAAAAACATCTTCAAATTTTTAAGTGAAAATTGAAAATGCTAGACGCTGAATTTTGTTTTTCAAAAACATTTTTCCCTTATAAAACCAGTCATCAAAACATCTGGTACAACACGTATCATATTTTTGGACATAAGTATAGGAGTATCATTTAATTTAAAAATTTTGAGAAGAAAAATAAGTTGATTTGCGCACTCGGAGAGTGTTGCAGATCCATTGCCTGCTGCAGCCACTGGAGGGACAGAAATACAGATGCAGAGAGACAGTAATTATTTTTCTGCTTTCATTTAACACAGAGACATAGGTATATGTGTTCATTTAGTCCACTTAACACCATTCTTGGAAGACGACTTGCCTTCAGTCAAATACTTCGTCCGATAGATATTCTAGATTTTGGATACACCTTTTATTAATCTTAACAAGAACTGTGTAGATATTAAAAATACTCACATGTCAATGGATAAATTAATAAATAATTTATAATCTTAAAAGAGTATTTCTATGGTAGATATTTATGTATGCTTTGACTTTAAGAAATACTTCATCCGTTTCATAAAGAGTGTCGTTTTAAGGTTTTATTTTTGTTTCACAAAGAGTGTCGTTTTAGGTTTTCAATACAAAATTTAATGATTTTTTATGTTTTATGATTATTAGTATTCTGTATATTGTTTTACTATTGGGCAGATTATGTTTAGGTATATAGTTAATGATGTTTTTGTTTAGAAAAACAAAAAATTTAATGTTTTCTTAATCTGTGTGCAAAACTCTAAAATGACATTCTTTGTGAAACAGAAGAAGTATATATTAAACAAAAATTGAACTCATCATGTAACTGAAATTAATTTTCTAAAGAATAAGAATTTTGAAAACAAAGAACAGAGTTTTTTTTTTCTTGGTTGCCTAGACAAAAACTAATCTACCCCATAGATTTTAATGTTTGACCCAACAAATATAAACAAAAAGACCATTAACTTTTCTTAACTTTTAGACTTTTTTGAAATAAAAACTGACTAGTTAGATCTTATACCATTGAAAATTAAAATAGAAGTTTCTTAAAATATTTTTTACTAAATAAAATAAAATAAGAATTTGTTAAGTTATCTATTGACAACAGTTTTAAAAATAAATAGCATATACTCCCTGTGTTCTTTTATAAATGATGTTTTAAGGTTCTAATTTTGTTTTTAAATATATGATGTTTTCAATTTTCAATGCAAAATTCATTATGTTTTTATTGGTGTTGACGATTTATATTTTGTAGATTGAACTTTTATTGGTTGATTAGATAATAAATGATGTTTTAGTTTAGAAATAAATAAAACTTAAATAATTTCTTAATCTATATGCATTCTACTAAAATATTACTTATAAACAAACGAAAGGAAGGG